GTTAAGGCAGCTAGATTATACACTGGGAATGGCTGACTGTGCAATTTGAGTCGTGCAATTTGAGTCATGCAATTTGAGTCCTGGTCCCTACAGCTTGGTCATGCGTGTGTGCAGTTGTGTGTGTGTGTGTGTGTGTGTGTGTGTGTGTGTGTGTGTATGTGTTTCCAAAATCCCAAAAGGAGGGAGCAATGGAGAAGGGATTATGCAGTGACCATCCCTTACATGGGGGTGCTTTCTCATTTTCTCTCTCTCCTCTCTCTCCACTATCCCTCTACCCTCAACAAGCACATGAACTGGCCTGCAAGTAAAACAGAGAGAGAGAGAGAGAGAGAGGAAATAAAAGAATATATTCTTTTAAAGTTTATTTTTATTTAGGTGCTAAGTATTTATGTCTAGGCTAGATAAAAAGAGTTTACTGATACTGATATAATTTGGAGAGGAATAATTTGCCTTTTAGAAATGGATTCTGGTGGTCAGCAGGTGGCTTGGAGGTTAAGGTGCTAGACTCCCACATGGCTGACCATGGTTAATTTTCTGGACCTGGTTGCTCAAAAGTCATGCTGACTTCCTGTATGTGCATGCCAAGAGTCCCAAGAGGAGAATAGAAAAGAAGGTATTGTGGCATGTCCATTCCCTTGGAGGTTGATTAATCATTTTCTCTCTCTGGTGAGCACATGCACCTTATGGCATAAAAGTAAAACTAAAGATAAAAAATTAATGAGGAATCAACAGATGGAAAAATGGTTATGTTGCTGGACTCCCATGTAGTTGATCATGGTTTGAGTCCTGGACCCGGAAGCTTATAACGCATGTAAGGTATATGTGCATGCGTGCCCAAAATCCTGAGAGGAGAATGAAGAAGGGATTGTGGCATGGCCATCCATGCTGGGTGGGGGGTGATTTCTCACTTTCTATCTCTTTGTCCAGCTATCCAGCAAGAGCATGCGACCTATAACAAAAATCTCTCTCTAAAATAAATAAATAAATGAATGAATTCTGAAGGTTTTTTTGTTTTGTTTTGTTTTTTAAGATTTTGCCATTGGGTATGTGTACTGTCCACTTGCTGGAGAGGAACAGAGAGAAGGAAAAGGGAGAGAAAGTGAAAACTCACCCTCAAAGGAAGAGTGACCACACCAGAATCTCTTCTTCTCCAGTCTCCTCTTGGGATGTTGAGCACACATGAAAACACACCCGGTGTGTGTCTTCAACCCACCAATTGGAGTCTTGAAACATGGTCATCCATGTGGGAGTCTAGCACCTTAACTACCACACCACCTTCTAGCCACTAGATTCTGTCGTTTAAAAATAGGACAACAGAAGAATATAGTCCCATTTTGCATTTTTACTGTCATCAAGCATTACATTGTAATTCATGTATTGGATTGTTGGAAAAGTCATTATGAATTTTTCTATGTTTTTCCATGCAAAACACATCAAGATTGCCAACTACACAGTAGTGTGTGTTTTTACACCTACTAATGGAACACATTAGGTCATAGCCATTGTAATAAATTTGCAAAGGACTCATAGTTTATTGTTAAACTATTGTTACCGAAAAATGGTTGTTAGAAACATACATATTCTCTTTTGTATCCAGATTTCCTTTGTAAATCATTTACAGAATAAATCAGATCTACTGTTCTATTATATTACTTTTACACATGTCAGCATAGGAGGAAGAGCACATTAACATAATCAGAGAAAAAAGTCTTTTCTATCAGATAGGAATTCCTGTAGGGAGGATTTCTTAAAATAAATCCTGAGATAGAAGAACCTCCTAGTTTATCTGATTTATTCTGGCTGTTACACATCTAGAGTAATTAGTTGAAAGGCTGGAACGTGAAAATATTAGGTGACAGGGAACACTGTGGGCTCCCACAGAACATCATTTATACTTGTTACAGGACTTGCTTCCTGCCTTACAACCACCTGTCAATGACCTGAGGTGGCCTCCTGTACATGGAGAGTGCCCTGTGTCAGTGCTGTCCTGTCTGGTGGCTATTAGCCAAACAGATATACGTAAATGAAATCTAATTTAACATTTAGTTTCACATTCATACCGATCACAATCTGAGTGCTCAGTAGCCGTATATGGCTGGTATCTACAAGACAGTGCAGTGTAGACCATTTCTGCTCCTCTGAAAGTTCCCCCTGGACCATGCTGCTCTAGAATGCAGTGTCTATGAGAATAAGAAATTGTTTCTGTTTGCTTATGTGTTGCAAAGTTCTCCCTGATATAGTGTTCATGAACACATCCTCAGAACTACTCTAACAACTCTAAAAATGTTGGATTGTCAAATGTTGAATGGTAAGTAAAAGTGTGTGTTTGCATGCCTAAAGTGTGAGGATTCGAACTTGAAATGTGCCAAAGAACAATCAAATGGCATTACTTAGCCACGTGCCCTTCCATACATGCAAGTAATCAAAAGTTGGTTGTAGCTATTTAATCGTTACCTTTAGGAGACCGCACAGTTTTCCTAGGGCTGCCCTAACAAAGCATCACAAAGTTGACAACTTAAAATGCTAACATGTACTCTCTTACAGTCCGGGGAGCCAGAAATCTAAACTCAAGGTGTTAGCGGAGCCAGGCTCCCTCTGACTCCTCCAGGGATGTCCTTTCTTGCCTCTCCTAGAGGTTCCAGACATGTCTTTGCTGTGGACATGGACAGGCCTGAGAGTAAGAGAAGAGCCCAGCCATGCAAGTGTTCCAGCAGAACCTGGGATTCCAGGCACTCCACACAAAGCTCCAGACATGGAAGCGAGCCATCTGGGGGATTTCAGACAGTCAAGGTCCAGAGGAGCTGAAGTGCTATGACAAAGAGAAATGGTAGTTGCTTTTAGTCACGAGTTTTGGGGTGGTTTGTTATGCAGCAAACCCCAGTGGCGCTGATGTCCCGTGAAGAATAATCTTGTTGAGAACTGGTGAAATATCACTGGGAATAAAAATGTGCATTTTCTCACTATGTTTTCTGATTGTCTTAAATAGCTCAGCCTGACACATCTGCCTTCCCACAAAACCTCTTTTCTAACATCATCCTAGTATTTCAGCTCCAGCACACTGTCTGGTGACAATGTTAGGATGGGACAAGAGCCCTGGGACTCCACAGAAACTCATGCTTGAATGCTTAGGTTGAGGCCCTATGATAGACAAGGATATATAACTATTTTTTATCCACCACTACCTTTATATTTCACTCTTCTCACTCTATAGGACTAAATTAAAAAGAGAAAAGAGGGGGGTGCTATTTACAAGAACATGTTTAAGTCTCTATGAAAAAACAAAATTTAACAATTTTTAATTTTAGATCAATTTTAGAACCTAAAGAGATGGAAAAAGTTCAGTTCATATATCCTTGATTATACACGGCTTTGATAAAGATATGGATTTATTAATAAGGATTCTGTGGTCTAGAGTCTCATTGTCCTCACGTTTATGAAAGCAGATTTTCCAGATTATGTGCCTCTGTATCTCAGATTTCATTATGTGTGTGGGAAGACTTTGACCCCTTCATATCCTGGCAGAGAACCCAGGAAATTGGAGTTGTAGGCCAGTTTCAAGCACGGTCATGGTGTAGTGAGGTGCACTATTAATGACGTGTAGAAGACGTGAAGCGTTGTGTTTCAGCAATGCACAAATGAACCAGGCTTTCTCCTTGCCTTTTCTCTGTGCCATTTATTTTTACCAGAGTTCGCTAAAGCCACAAGATCATTACTGAGAATATTAAAATATGTTTCCACTGATCCTTATAGATTTTTGTTGATTGCAGCTAGAACAATGATGACTCTTTGTGCTATTTTATCCCAAGGTTAGTGTACGATGAACTTTAGATTCTCCTCACTCAACCCTGTGCTACACACTCAAGTTCTACACACATTTAAATAATTTAAGAGATTCAATCTTTCAGTCTAATGGGTGAATAAATTCATTCCAAATTTCTGAATTCTTTTGGAACAAAGAGTTTCACGGATAAGTCTCTCCAGTGGCTCCAGCCTGAGGTATTTATTTGTAATTTAATGTAATTTTAAAAATATGTAAGATATGGGGCCAGCAGGTGTGTAGTGGTTAAGACACTGGACACTCCCACATGGCTGACCACAGTCTGAGTCCTGGACCTGGTGGCTTGCTTTCTTCCTTTCTCTCTTTGTATGTCTCTCTCTGGTCAAGTTAAAATAAATGAATGAATAAATAAAATTAAGTAAGTAATTCTTGTAAAAAATAAAAATAAGATATTTTCTAGACATGTGATAATGACAATAATGAGACTTTTCAAAACAGAAAATCCACAAAGAAAGGGCAATAGCAACATACTTTAAGAAGCTGGACAGAAACTGAAAGTAGTTATTAATGTAGGTGAGTAGGTGAAATCTAGGGAAAGCTGAGACACAAGCTCCTACATGAGGAGGCCCAGGAGCAAGTTGATTCTTGTTGACAAACCCCAGACAGGCTCCAGAACCCGGGACCTGTATGGTACTCATGGGGTCTTAATTGGTAGATTGCTTGGAAATCTGAAAAAGGAGCAGATGCCTAATAATCAGCTTCATATTCCTAGATTACAAATGAAAAAAAAAAAAAGACACACAACAGAAAGTAGAGTTGTTACTTACTCAGTATCACAGTAGAGTCTGGGGGATTGACCACATTTCCCTACTGGTGGTCCTTTAACATGTCACAGTGATTTTTTCAAAAGGCAAATAGTCACATATGAAAGGAAATGAAAAGGAGATGTTCGTAATAGTTGATCTAAACAAGAAACAAAATCCTCGGTGGATAGAATGAAGCAGCAGCATCTGTTCTTTTGTGAAACATGAGTAATACCAGTCCAGATGTGTGAGCAGTGGCATGTTCGCATGCTCCATTCACACATGAGAAAACTCAATGGAAGAACTAGATTTGGGGATGTAACAAGAGTTCAATGTTATTTTGCTTACCTAGATTCACTGTGATAACCCTGAGTAACTATCTATTAAGAATCTTGTCAAAAGAGGCGGCAAGGATCTGACTCAATGCTATGGTTAGTGTATTGGTAGGAGTTGGGGATGCAGTGAGTAGGAACAGCCCAGCTGAACAGAGAGCTACAATTATTAGAATATTTATTCATGTACGTCTGCATAGTCCCTCAATTACTGAAACCCTGTAATTCACTGAATTTGCCCTTTCCTCTGCACATATGGCTCTTTGTTGACGCTGGGAGCAGAGCAGCACCAGCCACGGCTTCGGGTATGGGCTGCAGGTGCCTGAGAAGCACTGTGTCGAGGCACAGAGGTAAGAGGCTGAGTCTTCAGGCTGGGATCCTTTGATGTACAAGAAGCTGTAACCCTCCTTCGTATTTAGAGTGACTTTCACTCGTCCTTCCTGCTTTTCATCCCCATTTACAGATATTACAAACAGAATCTTGGGACTTTTTGCAGGTTCCTGTCTGTACCAGTGTAAGCCGTAGAAGGAACTGGAAGGGAAGCTGCAGGTGAAGTTGGTGCTCTCTCCCTCCTGCACATGAAGTGACCGAGGACTCTGTGCCACATTCGGTACGCTGCTCACTCCTGTTTAGAAAGACACGGTCACATATGGAAATTGGTCTCTCTAGAGTTTTCAGTTCCTTCTCAGACCCCCAAATAAACCCTAGAAGTGCCTACTGTATATTCCTTCTTCCTCTCCTGGATCAGACTGTGAATGTCTTCAGCAACCCCTGAACTTACGGCCAAAATGAATCCACAGGATTAGCAATGAGGCTGCCAAATGATTCTCCATTTATCCAGCTGAAGTATCCTTGACACAGAAGTCTTTTGCAGCCTAGATCTGTGGAATATTCTACTTCAGAATAAAAGATTCTGCATCTGGTTGCCCAGCCAATCATAGATGAGCTCCTGTAAATGTCCTAGAAACACACCAACCAGTTCTACCCTAGATTCAGTTTCCGCATGGTTCACAAACAGAAACCAGAGACTATTTTTGTCTTTTTTGTTTGTTTGTTTTACTTTGCCAGAGGGTGGGTGCACTCACCAGAAAGGTACAGAGGAGCAGAGGGAGAGGGAGAGAGCACCCCTTCCCAACAGGTGGGTGCTGCAATCCCTTCTCTTCCATTTATCCAGCCTGTCATGATTTGGGGCCTGTGTGCACATGATGAGTGTTTTTCAAACCACCAGCTCCAGAGTTCAAAGCCACCAAATCTGGGACTCAAACCATGGGGCTGGTCATGTGGAATTCAGCTCCGTTAACCACTAAGCCATGGGCCTGGACTAAGACTGCTGAGGCCAACTTTACAAACATAGATGAAATACTGTATGAATTCAAAACAAAAGAACATTGAGAAGTGTTCAGAAGTGGGTTGCTCTCCTTGGACTGCTATTATTCAATTTGCAGTTGGAGCCCCAGACCTAGCAGCTTGGAAATCACACTGGGCACAGATCCCAGGAAGAAAATGGAGGACATACATTGGATTGTCAAAAAAGTCATGACGCATTTTTGCGTAGGAAAAAAAATGTCCAGGCTTTTCTGGCAACCTAATATATATCTGGCTCTGAGGTCAATGAAATTCGAAATCTACCATAGTACCTATATTTGTGATGCTCAGTAATTGTTTTAAATGTTAGAAAATATATTTTCTAAAGATAATGGGAGTCTAATTTGTGGTTATTCTTTGTAATGCAAAAAAAAAAAGGGAAGGAACAATGCTATTGTCTTCAGCTGATGAGTGAGTGGATATACAAAATATGATATAGCCATATAATGAGATGGAGGATATTTATCAATAAAATAAAGTACTACTACATGCTACAACATAGTTGAACCTCAAACATACTATGTTACAGGGAAGAATACAGACTCAAGAAATTACATACTGAGTGATACTATTTACACGAAATGTTCAGAAAAGGGATGTCTATAGAGATATAAGGTAAGTCAGTGGTTGCTTGGAGCCAGGGATGGGACTAGGGACTAGACGTAATTGAGCATGAAAAATATTGTTGGGGCAATCAAAATGTTTAAAGTTGGAGTATGATAATGGTTTCATAACACAGTTATAAATTAAAAATCATTGAACTATACATTTAAGATGGATAAATTTTATAAAATGTAAGTTAGAGACCAATACAGCCCTTTAAAAGTACATAAAAACCATGTCCTGTCTTCTCTGTGTCACAGTCCAGTGTAAGGCTGATTTGATTCAACATACACATATGTGATTGAGCAGTGCTGATATGCCTAGAATTTCACTAGGAGCTATGAGAGATTAAAAATGGCACAATCAACATTTTCTATTCACTGTGAGCTCAAAATGTATTTGAAGAAACAAGATATGTACAGAGAAATTTTAAAGTACAAGATAGTGGGGCTCAGCAGGTGGCATGGTGGTTAAGGTGCTGGACTCCCACATGGCCAACCACAGTTGGAGCTCCAGATCTGGTGGCTTGGAAATCACACTAGGAACATATGCATACAAGTTCAAAATCCCAGGAGGAGAATGGAGGGCAAGGGATTGTGACATGACTATTTCCACTGTGGGGTGATTTCTCTCTTT